GAGGAAAGGAGCTAAAGGTGTAGGGAAGGTGTGATACGTAGGGGAAGAACAAAAAGGGAAAAGAAAAAAATGTGAGAGAATGAAAAGATGAAAATAAAGTGTTTGTAGATGGGGAGGGGAGGAGGGGGTGAAGGGAGGGCAGAGGTAAGGGGAAAAAATGAGAATCAAGACTTGCCATGTAAAGGTACATGATCCCAACAATGAATGTAACTGTACTGTATCCCTAAAATGTACCAATAAACTCAATAAAATTAAAAAAAAAACAAACAAACAAACAAACAAAAAAATAAACTAACATCCCAGGTGGGAAGCTGAATGTGATAGACTAACGGAACTGTGCACAGACTGTACAAGGCCGGGTGGCAGGAGACATAATACTGATAGTATAATAGCTGTCTGTGAGCAGCTTCCCACTCCCCCAGTCACAGGCACAGGTGTGAACACTGCACACCGCCTCACCTGCCCCTCCGCATGATGGACCAATACCACGGGGATTCACCAGGGTTACAGGTGAGGAAGTGCAGTCTCTATCAGGTCCCCTGCAGTTAGAAGTTGGAGGAGACAGGAGGGGAACTTCAGAGTGGCTGCTCAGAAAGTTCCAACTTCCCTACACGTCTGGGTGACCCTGAGGCCCCCACTCACTGGAGATCCTGCAGGGCTTGACCTGAGTTCTCCAGGACACCCAGTAGTTAGCATCACAGAGAAAAAAGATATTCTTGGAATGGTTCCTCCCCTGAATAGCACCTAAGTTCACCTGTGACCTTACCGTCTACTTCTGCAACCATCGCTCCAAGCCTCCTTTCCATCACTTGCATTTTTCATTCATCCTTGTTTGCAGTTCACAATGATCACGTTCCTCCTGGGGAGTCAGTGCACGGACAGGTCCTTCTCAATTCCCACTTCCTCATCTCTTGGTCCTTTCCCATTTGCAAACATCTTTCTTCTTTTTTTTCATTTGTCTGAAAACTATTTTCCATAGGCAGGCAGCCAGATTCCTGGACACCAGAGGGAAGCTAGAGGCTGTCCTGAGCCCCCTGTGAAGGGGAGGAAGGAAAGGGAGAAACTGCAAGTGGTAGCACAGTTCCAGGTACCAGCAAGAGCTCATCATGGAAACAAGCGTACAGTGGTGTGTGACGGAAGGACAGGAGCCAGCTGTATGAAGAGAGTAGGAGCAGGAGACAAGATCGCCACCGTGACTTCCTGCATGTTCCTGTGGCTGGGGTGAGTGCAGGTCTCATTTGTTTTGCAAGAGTGCAAGGAACCTTAGCAATTCATTATAAGTTCATTAAGAGAGCACAGAAGCCAAAGAAGTAAAGACTGTACAGATCGAGACAAAGGTACTTGTACCACCGTGAAGCTACCAAGGGATCAGAGGACCTCATCGGAATAAACAGGGATCTGATCTGAAATCTCCAACAGTCAGAAAGGAGACTGAAATACCTAGAGTGGGAGCGATGACATACAGCGTTCTACCACTCAGGCAACATACTGAGGCAGCTTTATGGACAGATAAAATGGAAGATTAGGCAAATGCTAAAAAACAATATCAACAAGGCATTGGTTTCAGATGTGTTGGTGAGAGCAGATATAAAAAATGGAATTGGAATTCTCATAATTTATTAATGAGTCAAAGGAACAGAATGGATAAAGTCAGTGTGGTCAAATAAACAACATTAGGCCTCAAAGACAGTTGCACTACCAGGCTGTGTCTGGAGGCCCTGGGAGACATGAGGGACCATTGAGGGCTTAGGTAGCAAGTCCCTCCGGGTCCGCCACTCATTAGCTAACTCTTCTGAGCAAAAAAAAAAAAAAAGACAGAGGATTCATCCTCCAGGAAGAGGTTGATTTTTCTTGGCAAAGCCATCGCTCCAGACATACTGGCAGCTCTGAAGGGTTTCCAGCCACCACTCAGAGCAACTGGGAGAAGAACGCAGAGAGTCTCCACAGGGAGCGAGGTTGCTCGTGGAAATGTAGAACTGGATATGTTTTGGAGTGAGGAGAGATGGAATGCAGGTTTACACAAGGGGAAGTGATTGTATTTTAAGAAATGCATACAGTGGCACAGGTCTGTGGGGAATGGGGTCCCAATGTGTGGCCTGTGGAACATGCAGCAGGTGAGATGCAGGCAGAGCACATAAATACAGGAGAGAAATGCTAGACTGGCCATGCAGGTCATAAAGTCATCACCATCTTTCAGTTACAGAAGCCAAAGGAAGCGATAAAGATAACAGGAAGCAATTTATCCACAGAAACATGGGCACGTGCGCACTCCAGTGCTACAGTTGTTCTTTTCGTTTTAGGAAACAAAGAGAAGATAAACTGCAGCCTGAAGTCCTTACTGATTTGACTTTCTTCGGCAGTTTTTCCTTACTCTGTTCCTAAAGGGAGAGGATGATCTGGAGTAATTTTGTCTGGAGAATAATCATTTTTTCTGTTGCTGGACTTGGCATCGGAGGGAATTTCTTTTTGTTTGCAAAGCATGTGTACGCTTCTGTCATGGGCCTCAAGAAGAAACCCATGGATTTTATTATCATCCAACTCACTCTTAGTAATGCAATAACACTCTGGGCCTCTGGAATATTAGATATAAGACTGCCTTTCCATTTTAATGACTACTCAGGTAGTGTTGTTTGTAAAATTGTGGTTTATCTGGGAAGGGTGGCCAGGGGCCTTTCCATCTGCACCTCCTGTCTCTTCAGCATGGTCCAGGCCATCACCATCAGTCCCAGAACCGTGCTCTGGGGCAAGCTCAAACCACAGTCCCCATGGCAAGTTCTTACGTCTCTTCTGCTCTTTTGGATCATTAACTTTCTGATAAGCTCCAACTTGCTGCACTATGTCACATCAGTCAGCAGCATGAACAGATCTGCAGTTGGAATGTATCTCAGGCACTGTTACATGATACGATCTAAGCAAATCATCAGGTGGCTTTTCCTCTCTCTCATGGCTCTTCGGGATGTCATCTTCCAGAGTCTCATGGGCTGGAGCAGTGGGCACATGGCTTTCTGTCTGTATGAGCATCGCAAGCGTGTGCTCTACCTGCACAGCTCCAGGTTGGCAAAGAATTCCAGCCCAGAAATCAGAGCTACCATAAGAATTCTCATTCTCATGATCTGCTTCCTTTTTTTTTATTGGGCTGATTTCATTTTCTCCTTCTACATAGGTTCTGTCTTAGCACCTGACTCCATGATATTGAATATTAAAGTATTTCTAGGCCTGGGCTATGCCAGTCTCAGCCCCTTTGTGTTGATCAGCAGAGATGTCAGCAAGGTTAAATATTGCCACAGTCACTGAGAAAGTGGGAAAACTGCTTCCTGCATTAGCTTTAATAACGAAAACATTGCCATTCAGTCTTTGTTTTTATTCAGCAAAAATTTTCTCCAGCCAAAAGTGATATCAAGTTGTAAGTGTAGTGATCCAGTTTGAGATCTTAGAATCAATCACTAAAATTCAGTGCCATTAAGGCAAAAGGGCTGTAAGAGCAGATACTGAGTCATCAGATGACCATGCTAGTGTGATCCTGAGTGTAGAGGAAAGAAACTCACATAGAAGTATTGCAGCCATCTAGCAGTGTTGACTCGGTTGAACAAAGTGTCCCCAGAGCTCAACTCAGCCATCAAAAGGGTCCTGGATCTCCTAAGTCCTCTGCACATCTTCACTTCCTTGGTAACTGGCTGCAGGGAAATTGTGGGAAGCTGGACTTCAATGTGGTTACAGCAGAGTAATGCAGAGTCCAATCGTTGAGAAGCCTGCTACTCATATTTTATTCATTCTGTGTTAACAAAATAGAAAAGTCTATACTGGACAGTCTTCATCTGGCTCATGGGCTCCAAGAAGCCTTGCGAGATTCCCTTTTCCAGGCTTTCTTTGCTCCACTGCTCTGCTGTGTCATCTCTCTTCATATTTGTGCAACTGTTCACCTATGTGCACTCTGACTAGGGAGGGGAGAGGGAGAAACCATCAGGAAGAAGAAACTTCCATGTCGGGAAGGCAAGACTGTGTCATACTTTTCAACTCAACATTTGTAGGCCTTTTCTTGGTAAAATGTTTTGTTTTTGTCACTTGTGATAGGTGGGGCACCTAAGAAGTGTTTCCTGCTTCAACACAATCTAGGATCTCTAACTGAGAAGAACAAAGTAGACATTGGTCAGTCAATAGGTTGCAGATGAATGAGCTTCCTCTACAGCCTGTCCCTGTGTGTTAGGACTCGCAGAAGCAGGCTTTCTGGGGACCATTAAGGAAGACAGTCAAGCAAGCCTGTACCACGTCTGAGTACACGGGGTTGTCTTCCAAAGCTCTTTATATTTGAGAAATACTGAATGAAACTGGTTAGAAGTGGTCACTTCATGAACTAACTGACAAAATTTCATGTTTGACAGCAAACTATGGACGAGGCTTAGGGACCAAGGAACCTGGGATGGGGCAGGGGTCCCGGTCACTAGTTGATCACTGTGTTTGACAATTAGGCAATAAAATTATCAGTATGCATACTCCTTGTCTCAGCGGGGTCTTGTTCGTTGGGTTGGTTGGCTCATCTAAGGAACCAGTCCCACTGTCACACTCACTTCTGTGAAAGCAGTGCTTGACATCCGCAGTGAGCACTTCAGCGCTGCTTGCAGTTTCAAGGTTTAGGTGCAGCAGATGTGTGTGCCGCTGAGATGCAGCGTGGACAACTTGGGGTCCTGGCTGCAGTGTGGGTGAGCAGCCCTCAGAAGGGCGTGATGAGCGTGATGTGCCTGTGTTCAGAGATTTCCCATGGAGAGCAGATGAGAGGCCAGGGACACGAGCCTGTCGGTCTGCTCCTCATACGGAGAGGGAAAATGGAATGACACATTTCTAAGGAGAAAGTGTGTGCTGCTGTATCGGCGACATTACAATCGGCAAAGTAGGGAAGACTTTTTGTAATAAATATTATTTTACTTCATCCCGTTACCCCTCCAGCCACTCCCTGGAAGACATGTTTTACTCAAGTTTTTCAGATTTTTGAAAAACATTTTAGTGAATAACTTGGTGGAAAGCTAAAGAATTTTAACGTAAAATTGTAGCATGTGTCAACAAATATTTGTGATATTCAAAATATTGAGAGAAAATGCAAGGAACATTTTTTTTAATTTTTCAAAATGTAGATCAAATGAATTACATAAAAAAATCACCAAAATTGGTAAGAGAAACTATAATATCTAAGCCTTATGTTTATTAAATCAATTAAATATGTAAATAAAAACAACCTTGAAATACAAAAATTAAAACCTAACCTCAGGAGAACTCAGAAGTAAATTCTTCCAAACATTTATTCAAGAAAAAATAGCAGTGTTACACAAACTATTCAACGTGATTTGAGTAAAACAACTCCAGGCTCATTATTTTTGGTTTGTTTGGGTTTGTTTTGTTTTTTTGTTTTGGTATTGTTTTGCTTTCTTGAGACAGAGTCTTACCGTGTTGTTCAGGCTGGCCTCAAACTCATGGGGATCCTCGTGTCTCATCCTCACCAGTGCAGGGATAACAGGTAGGGGCCACCACACCGGCTTCAGGCTCATTTTCTAAACCTAGAATTGCTTTGATAGAACAATCTACTAAGAGCCATTGCTAAGTAGGAATACCTCAAGCTGACATTACTCATGAACATTGATGAAGAAATGATAAATGAAACAGAATTCAACACTGTCTGATGTATGAAATAGAATTCAATATGATATAACAGCATTCTCATTCCAGGGAGACTTCTTTCAGAAAAGAAAGGGATTAATATGCAACAAATCAAGCAACACTATATCACAAAGACAAAATAAAATACCTGAATTTATTTCAATAGAATCATAAAGGCAATTTAAAAACTACAAAAAATTAAAAATTAAAATTCTTATAAATAAGTCACACATGTGTAAATACTGAATAGTTTCTCTGGTGTGAATCAACTGCAATAGTACACAAATCTTTTGCTCATATTTTCATCAGGTAATTTACTTTTTGTTGAAGGAGTTTATGAGTTTCACATATGCCTTGAATATTAACTGCTTATCATTGTATGGGGTCATTCTTTATATAATATATATGTGTATATATATTTTTTCTCTTATTCTATGTGCTACATTTTCATTTAGTTGATTGTTTCCTTTACACTTCAAGAAACATTTGAATATTTCTCAGATGTTTATTTTGCTTTTGTTCCTTGCACCAATGCTATGGAACTTTCTTCCCTCCTCAAATTTATTCTAGAAGTTTTATAACTGTAGCTTTTATATTTAAAATAATTTTGAATTTTATTTATATTTACAAAGGAAATAAAATTATTTGAAAAAAATGAAAATTCTCAAAAAATGTCATGAGATATATTATAATTTGATTAAAAACTACAGAAAAAATACCTAACTTCGTATTCAGTGCAGACACCCTGAACTCTTCTGAGGTTAGGAATGAGATGCAGATGTTGACTGTCACTATGTGTATTCCATATTCTTGTTCAGATTGTACCCACCTTGAAAGGGGAGGAAAATGCATGACAGAAGGAAACTGTTCTTACTCATAATATGATTGTGTGTAGAGAAAAACAGTAAAAATACATAGAATGTAACAAGTTCAAATTCAGCAGATCCAATACCAGTCTACAAATGATTGCATTGTGTATTAACAATTGAGGAAAATTACTAAACATTTAACAAACATGGATAACAGATCACTTTCAAAATATCTCCACTGAGGGCTGGATTTTTGGCTCAGTGGCACTACACCTGCATTGCAAGCACAAGGTCCTGGTAACAGAAAAAAAAAAAAGACAAAATATCCCCATTGACAATGATAAGACATTGCAGAAATAAATGAGAACTAAATGAATGGAAAGGATTCTACTTTCACAGAAAGGGCATCTTAGGGCAGTGTATTTGCAGGACTCTTTTCCCCAAGACCAGCTACAGTTCCAGTCCCTGTGGATGAAGATGCCAGAGACACTCACTATCAACTCTGTGCCTTCCCCACTGTGAGAAGTTTTGGGGACCTCAGAGGCTGAGGTCCCTGCCTGCTGCATCTTCCTGATCTTTCTTTCCTCCAATGAAGGTGTGGCTAAGGGGATCCCTGTAGGCACTGGTCTGGCACGTGGCCACCTGCAGGCCTGTGCCACAGATATCTGATGAGGGCTGAAGCACAAGCATGTGTGGTGGGTGGGCAGGCTCTCTGGGTCCTGGGTCCACAATCACCATGACACACAGACTCGGGGTCAGGTTGGCGACCATGTCCATGCCTCGGATGCCTGTGAAGCTGGTAGGGAACCGGGAGTGGGAGCCCAGGCAGGGGTTCAGAGTTGCTGCAGCTCCAGGGTTGGGTGGCCCAGCTCTCCATGGCCCCTGAATTGGAGCCCACGGTGCAGGCAGGGCCAGCAAGGGCTTGGGCCAGGCCTGCATTGTGAACTCACTTGCTGTGTGACAGCCACTGGGTTTCAGTCATAGGTGACCCCGTCCAGACTGAACCTGGGTCTGCATGTAGCTGTTCACAGGGAAGCTATAGCTCTGGTCTTGGACATGATTGGGTTCGGAGAAGAGGAGCTTCCTCTACTGGAGCTTCAACAGGTGCAGCTTCGTGGGAGTGGTGAGGATGTGCGGCTATTCGCCCTCTCTGTGTCCCCAGAGGAAATGGCTCTCAGTCACGTCTGTGATGAGTGCCCAGGTTCCCCTGTGGAGGAGCTGCTAGGGACCACAGCAGTTCTCCCAGGGGTGGATCCACAGCCTCTGCCTTTCTCCTTCGCTCTCCTAGCCAACTCCTGACATCTCAGCTGTGCTGATCTCACCAGCAATCATTTCATTGTGGACATGATCCATGTCTTTGTTCTCCTGTGAGCTTCTGATTCTTTAATAGCCCCTGAGTCCTCTGTGGTCTAATTACATTTGGGGACATTGGGGGAGTTGGGGAATGAAGACAGCCAGTATCTCCTAGGGCACCTCAAGTGACTTCATCTTCCAGGGTCAGTTAGTCACTTCTTTTCTTATAACTTAGTATTAATGTTCTAAAAATGAAATACATCTCTTGCATAACCATAAAGCACTTACTAAACTCAGGAAACTAATAGTATTTCAATACTTTTAATTAAGAGACCATACTTAGATCTAACCAACTGTTTCAATGATATTATGGCAAGAGTCCCACCAAGCTGGCGTCCTATTTGACATGTTCCCTACCTACTTGCCCAGAGAATGTTCTGCTTTTGGACCCAAAAAGTTACCCTACGCTCACCTTGAACTTTCCCAGAACTAGCCCCAGAAAAAGTCTGATCGCTTAGGACCCCTAGTTCTATACAGCAGAGAAAG